AATGTCCTGTGGGATTTGGTTGACAAGATAGGGTGAGTTTACTGCCTCCAGTAATGGTTCTCCTTTGGTTCTCAGTGCCAATGTCCTGTGGGATTTGGTTGACAAGATAGGGTGAGTTTACTGCCTTTAGTTCCCAGTGCCAATGTCCTGTGGGATTTGGTTGACAAGATGGGGTGAGTTTATTGCCTTCAGTTATGGTTCTCCTTTGGTTCTCAGTGCCCTGTGATATGTTACAATGATGGGTTATCAAAAGGGTCTGATGTTTCTTATTTCTACAAACTATGTGCATGCTTGGTGCTGAATCTGAATTGGATTTTGTTTATAATTTATGTGTTTAATATTTATCTGGAACTTTACAACTGATTAAAACTTTCATCTAAAGATAGTGGTCTGCTGCAAAGTTCTAGTGAAAGTTGTCCACATCAGAGTTATGACAATGCTTGCTGGGGTAGTGCTAGCAGTTTTTTTCACTTAGCCAAATCACCACATTTTTGTCAATTTGTTATCAAAATGGTTATAATTTGGCTAAAACATGTCAAATCAAGCCCTTTTTCTTTAGCCAATTTAAGTCAGTTTTAGCATTTGGCTAAATTGGCGAGTGTTAGCGCTACCCCAGGCTTGGGAGGGCAGGTCTGGCACAAGTCCACTTACTTAATGACTGAATGCTAATGCTTGCCACTTTTATTGACAAGAAATGAGTGAATTCTTCTTTGTTATCTTTGACCATAACTTAAAAATGAAAATGTTTGTTTCAACCTAAGGTTACTTATATTAAAGCAATGACTATTTGAGAACTTGGATGTTATAACTCATTGCTTTTTAAAATGAATAATTAAATACATAAGGTGGCTTTCTAAATACCTATACACTTATTGCCTTAGAGTTGCTAATGTCTGAAAACCATATTCCATTTCAGAATCAGCATACTAGGAACAGGAGCAAAATGGCTTGCAGTGCTGGAAGACAAAGGTGTCAAACCAAGTAGGTGTCTATCAGTATCAATCCACGAGAAGTCTTCACCATGATTGTTTAAACATTGGTCATTATCACTGGGGTTGTCATGATCATGGGCCAGAGATATATGACTTTGTTTAAAATGAGCTTTATCATAAATACATCTTTAATGCTGGCATTGGTCTAAATATGGATCTTAAGCTGTGGGTTTATATGGGTGGATCATGAACAATGGCATTCGTCTAAATGTGGATCTTAAGCTGTGGGTTTATATGGATGGATCATGAACACTGGCATTGGTCTAAGTCCTAAGTCATGAATGCATGTGTGTCATATTCAATAGAGTTCAAATAAGAGTACACTGTTGCAACATTTTACTTCAAACTCTATTTTATAAGCTTTATTTACATCATTTTATTTTCCAGTTGAAACCCACAGTCTGAAAAGCCTGCACACCATCTTGTCTACAGGGTCCCCACTTAAACCACTGACCTATGAATATGTCTACAGGGATATTAAAAAAGATTTACTTCTAGGATCAATAACAGGTGAATAACCCACAGCAGTTCAATTGATACAGCATGTGATGTAGAAATACATTAATATGACAATGTAAGTAAAGTGTGACTGGTGTTATTTGTATCTAATATAATAGGGACAACAGGCCTCATATTCTGTTTATATTTCAGGAGGAACAGACATCATATCGTGCTTTGCTGGCCAGAATTGCACTCTGCCTGTATATAGGGGAGAAATTCAGGCTAGAAACCTAGGAATGGCTGTGGAGTGTTGGAATGAGGATGGTAATATGCTGTCTGCCCTATATATCACATTTCATTGTCATGTCATTACTGAAGAAAATTATTGCAAGGATGACATATCAGTTATGCTGCACTTACATGTTCAAATATCTACATCTGTCATAGAATTTGTTCACACAAAATATTGTCTATGGAGGGAACATGCTTGTTTTTTAACTATGTCATCAGAGGTTCATTTTGGTGAGGCATTCTCCATTAGAAAGTTTACATGTTCAGCAGTCAAGGTTGTGTCCTCAAAGATTCATTTTGGTGAGGCATTCTCCAATAGAAACTTTACATGTTCAGCGGTCAAGATCAGGCCCGTAGCCAGGGGGGGGTTGGGGGGTTCGAAAGAACCGCCCCTTTTGCTGGGAAAAGGTTCACTCTGGGTAAAATTTGATCTAGGTACATTAAGTTTTTTATGGGAAAAGGTCCACTTTTTCAGAAAAAGAACCCCCCTTTTGAAATTACTGGCTATGGGCCTGAAGATTGTGTCCTCAAGGCTCATTTTAGTGAGACATTCTCCAGTAAAAAGTTTACATGTTCAGCAGTCAAGGTTGTGTCCTCAAAGGTTCATATTGGTGAGGCATTCTCCATTAGAAAGTTCACATGTTCAGCAGTCAAGTCACTCTTTACCCTGTTGCTGCAGTGAAGACAGAGCAGCACTCAATCTGTTTTGGTTTTTTCCTTCTATTTCCTTCCTTCTACTATTCCTCTAACATTGAATTGGTTATGAATGATAACTTAAGACAACGATATTATAGTTTTGATAATGTTAAACACACATATTCATGTTTTTAAGGGTCTATGGTCAGATGAATTTAGGTGTTAGTCTGCCTGTCAGGAAAATAAAACAGGATCCAGAGTGGTTCTTTTGGTGTTAGTCTGCCTGTCAGGAAAATAAGACAGGATCCAGAGTTGTTCTTTTGGTGTTTAATTAGGGTGCATTTTCCGTACACCGTTCACAGCCTTACAGACCGTTTGGTAGGCAGTCATTAAAAAGATTTATCTAGTATTATGGGAACATACATATATAAGCCCCTATAAGGTGTAATGGGGAATCATTTAAAATGGGATCATTCGATATCCCTTATTATATGTGGTGTCATTTATTATGTATTATGTAGGGGCTTCTAATGCAGCTGTAATTTGAAATATGACTATGCTTTGTTGTAGGGAAACCTGTGTTTGGAGAAAGCGGAGAATTAGTATGTACAAAGCCTTTCCCAAGCATGCCTACATACTTTTGGAATGATGAAGATGGACTGAAATATAAAAAGGCTTACTTTGATAAGTTTAAAGGTAAACTGAATGATATGATAAATACTGTATTGTGAATTGATCATGTTTGTGTTATTAAGATAAAGGTGGCAGGACTGTGTAGTTTTAGAGATCCACACTGTCTTTAGCATTCTCTCTCTCTCTCTCTCTCTCTCTCTCTCTCTCTCTCTCTCTCTCTCTCTCTCTGCCATATATATATATATATATATATATATATATATATATATATATATATATATATATATATATATATATAAGACCATGTTGATATAAAGTTATTTGAATTAATTTTATTGTTGNAGACATGTTGTAGAGGAGTACACTGGAAACAAGAGAAGACATGTTAATCTGAGGATCGTGTAGGTAGTACAATAGATTTACTGTGAAAACACCCTTAGTGAAAGTTGGAAAAATTCATTTGTGCAGTGGAATTACTGGTACTATTTGTTAATCCATGAAAGTGCATACTGATTTATTTTTATTTGTTTAAAGTAAATTCATTAAAGATTAAAAACAGTTCAGTGACAATTTCCCAAGGACTACTTTCCTTGGACAATCCTTGAGGACGATTTCCCTCTATTTCCCTTGAGCCATCTTCTCAGACAGAGCCCCATGGGCCATTTCCCTTGGATAATACACCAAGGATTGTTTCCCTTCTTTTTAGTATTACTGCATCACATTTATCACCCATTTTTGTGGTACCACTCCAACTTCCCAATGAGTGTAAGCCATGGGTGTAATCTTTATTGTGAATGTAGGCCTTTTCTGGTTGATTTATGTATAATTATGAGATGCATCAGCAAATGCATAAATATACTATTATTTAACCAGTTTATAGGATCATATAGTGGCTGGTGATATTTTATTTTCCTTGGGGAATTAACTTAAGGGGGACTTGTCTGAGAGCAGCCGTCTTGAAGGGATTGCCTTAAAACTGTACACAATATCAATACTGTAACCTACATGCCTGATATTCTTTCATTTTTCATTAAAAATGCTTGAAGTTTACTAGTAAATGTTGGTGATCCATATGATTTCCCACTTACTAATTAAGATTTCATCCTTGATGTGGTTCTGTTTAATGTAAAAATTTCCCACTTACTAATTAAGATTTCATCGTTGATGTGGTTCTGTAAAAATCCCCTGATATTTTATTCATTTAAAATTCCAATTATTTAAATCAGATACAGTTCATTTCAATTTTAATTTCAGTAACAGACTGAATACTGGATGCCTGATAATCTCAAGTAAAATAGCTTATATTGGTAATTGGTAATTTTTGCAGTGGTGATGATCTCCACAATAAATACCACACAATGGAAGCTGCTGTACGGTGTTAATTGATCACTACTGTCGGTCATTTTGAATAGATACCATCTTAGAGCGCATTCACAACAGCGGACTAACTGATCCACGGATCAAATATGGCCGACCCACTTGAATGCTTGTTGCGTAATCCCCGCGGGGAATCTATTCAGTGACTAATCGGGACTAAAGCGGCAAGCTTTTTAGTGGGTCGCCGTATTTTATTTGCGGATCTGTTACTCCGTTGTTCTGAATGCGTCTCCCGTAAAATAACATACAGGTATGTGTAAATGTTAATCAATTTAGTCATTGAACACTGAAGATTTATCTGTTCTCCAAAAGAATGTATGTAAGGCAGTAAATAAGGAATTTTTGGCAAAGGCTTACAGCATCCTTAAATCTAGACTAAAAATAGGCCTTTCTGACAATTTCTTCCATAAGACAAATCAGTTCCACCCCAGTTGCTGTGTTCTTCCGTCAATGGTAAAACAGACAGCTTTCAGTTTATCAAAGAAGAAAATCCCTACAGCAGTTGACATGTCGTCTCCATTCGTTTTCAAACATGAACGGAACGCCTCGTCGCAGGTGCAACTCAAACTGGAAACAAAAAAAATATGTGTGTTTATACCAAACGGGCATCCCTCAGTTTCCGTATTTTTTTTAATATTTGAAAAATCATGTGCGGATAGGTTCACATCTGGGACTCTGATATAATACAGATAAGGCGCCGTTCCATCACACCTGGTGAAGTCCCAGCAACAAGATTATCCTTTAGATTAATCTGGTTGTGAACACGACATATGTGCCTTGTGCAGTCAGACATACAAAACAGACATACAAAGGCGACTTTTTGGAGATTCTCGCCAGTCGTCAGGATCGTCTGCTAGAATTTGAAACTGAAGGCAGTTTAATCTCCGTGCGCGAATTAGATTTTTTTTTTTTTTTTTTTTTTTTTTGCAACAGTTTTAGAACTTTAAACAGTATCAAAGTAAATCAATGTTATATAATTCTTATCGGTAGCAAATGTTGCTTTATTCTGATTAAAAAATGCTCCAAAAACACAAGAATGACTAATCATTTAGAAGAAAATTCGAGTTATTATGGAGCTAACTTTTCGTCATAAGCTGCACAGGCCTAACCTACTGACATTGGCAAATTGATCTAAAAGTTCATTGGCCCGACATCATTTCTCAGCTATTAGCACTTACATGGCATTGAGTCTGAAGTTGAATATCCCATACTTGGATTGGAAAGCAGGAATATAGTCGGCACAGTTGTCATGGTCCCGACAGCAGATGTCACTAGCTCGGCCAGGACCCGAGGCTAAATCACTGTAGTTCTGGGCCGTACTTCCATAGCCGCACCACTTCGTACCTGACACATTGAAGGACGTGAAAACACTTAAAGTAAAATTTTTCACCCAACTCAACTTTACACTATCTTTTTATCTCTAACCACCCACATGGGAAATGTGAAAATATGTCGACATTCTGATATGATAAATTATCCAAACCGTTTCGTCGTATCAATTTGTCGCTCCAAAATGGGACTTTTTTATTATACAGTGTTATATGTTTGGTGAAATATGTAATAATAAATGATCGATTTAAACATGCATATACATGTGGACGTACGAAAGCTGAAGGTTGAGTTACAGAATATTTCTGTGTGATTATTTATACATGATCACAATAAAGACTTTACAAATGGTACAGCTCTTAAAGGGATAACAACCGTTAGTAAGATATCCAGATATATTGTAAACAACTCATAGATTTATTATAAATATCATTTTGCCACCTAAAAAGCGGTTAACACAATTATTCGGAAATTTGTGCTTGCCATCACATCACGTGACCTCCATAGATGACTACACTGTGTAAAATCTCTTAAGAGAATACTTTAATAGCACACGCCGATAATGTAACGGCACGGATGCCCGAGAGCAAGATTGAAGAAGCTGGCCACATAGGTGATCACTTTTTTTACTAAGTTAATAGCTGAATCAAGGGTTTATCAGCGGCGACAGTGCCTACCGCTGTGAACGACCAACGTTGCCCATCCTAATCCCCCTACCATTATCACTGGCGGGGGTTTGCGCACTTGCGCATAAGATGTAGACAGCGCAAGCTACTAAAGTGTAGGTTTTTAAATGGCTACATGCAGTGTGTTGGCAATAAATCACGAATTGTACTATTTTCCCTTTTTTTAAAAAGCTCATATTCAAAACCAACTTGTAATAAGAAGAAATATGACTGTCAACTTGGGGGGGGGGGGGAGAGGTAGAAAGACAATTTTCATACAAGGTCAATGTTTTTAATTATATGGAAATAAGCTAATACAGTTGGTAAGTACTACAAAGTTTGCGGAGGTCTATTGAAAATCATACAATAGATTTTACAGAAATCACACGAACATTCTACTTAACTAGAAAATATGTTTTTGTTACCTGGGAAAATGCCAATTCCACTGGAATTAACGTCTCTCTGAACTCGTCCCTCAGACTCACTAACACAGAATGTCGCTAAACATACCAATATTATCAAACGATTCATTGTGAATTCTTTCCAAAGGAATCCAATAGCCAGTTAACAGAGCAAGAGTAATACCAGATTTTGACCTATATATCTATAGCATCTGTTTAAAACCGAGCGGTTTATCACTTACATGTAGGGTAAGAGATAGAAGAGATAATGATAAAAGCTGCATGTTGTTGTTCGAAGGAGTTGAGCATCTGGAGGCTTTGGTTTGAGGAAGCGTTCCCATAAACCTATGATACTAGCTGGATCGATCTAACTCTGATGATATATTGGCTAAATTGCATCCATTGTGAGCGGCAAGAGGTACTTAACAATAGTAAATTGCCCCCTAGTTACTCAAAGGGGCGTGCCAGACAAAAGAGACCGCGACAAGGTTATTTTCAGTTGCACCCGGACTATGCACTATTACTAATAGACTGCATTCCCACAGATTTTAGATCGATCTATCCCCGTGGGGAGTCTCACTAGGTTACTGTCAGCTTAGCCGGCTTAAATGTCTGTCCCGCCTACTAAAAGCTGTAAGGGTGTAATTAACTTCCGTGCGCGCTCGGCTGACAGCAATTTAGCATGAACCCCCAGGGAGTTAAGTCGATCCAGATGGATCGATCTAAATCTGTGGGAATGCAGTCTTAGACATCATCAATGTAGTAGATCAAGATGAAACCTATGAGCTCCCAAATGTCCAAGAATGTGTACGTCTCACAGGCAGAGATGGGAAGCCAGGACTTGTCAAAGTCGGATTCGACGCCCAAGAAGACAAAGTAAGCGTGCTTCGCAAAAAAAGAGAACATAAGGAAAAGCTAAGATTCAAGGTTAAGGAAGATCTGGATTAGTGCAAGCAAGCAAGAGTCATTGTGAACCCGGGTGGCCACAAATATTTCGTTACTAACCATGGCTTGATAAGGAAAAGTCAGCCGAAATGACCAGACGAGAACAAGAGTCGAGGTCAATTCAACCCAGATCACATCAATGCTACAAACACAAGTGCCGGTGTGAACGTATTACAGGTCCGTCAAGAACCGAGACAAGTCAACCACCCAGGGTCATTTATCACTCTATCCCATCCACGCCATATCCAAATGATATATCCTGGACCCGTAGCCTCTTGTGTTATTAGACCTATGATTAACAACGCTTTTGCGCCCAGGACTCCGGTGCCACAACTTTCTAGAACCCTTCGAGAGGGACTAGCCTCGGAGTGGAACTGCGTCCGTCCGAGCAATGGATGGTCTCCTCGCCGTAATAACATTAAAATGCTGTGCTGAAATATTAACGGTGGTTTATCTAATAAATTGAAAAATCCTGCTTTTCTGAACTATACTAAATCATATGATATATTCGGTTTGACAGAATGCTGGTTTGAAAATGAGTCTGAATATGATATCCCTGACCTGACTGAGATTAATAAGTTTATTGTTGGAAATTTAAATACATACTCTGACCATGCTCTGTTAAATGTAAAACTTCGGGCCTTTTATGTACCTACACATGTTGATTGCGCTACGACTGTACGTAGTTAATGATACTAATACATGCCAAATTTAAATGGAATGAAAACCTGTTGACTGAAAGTAAAGCGGCACTTTTTGAAATCTGGGCCCAAGAAATCTTCACAGAGAAAAAAATATCATTAAATAAAATAAACAAAATGCCCTTTGAACAAATACATTTAAAGATGTGTAAATGGGCACTTGGTGTGAGAAGGTCAGCTAGCAATAATGCCTGCCGTGCAGAACTTGGGCGCCTCCCATTATACTTGGACATTGTCAAATTAGTATCAAGATACAGTCAAAGGCTGAATAACCTTCCAGAGCAAAGAATTGTCAAGCAAGCATACAATAGAGAACAAGCAAAAAGGGAAAAAAACTGGTTTTGGGCAATTTCAAACTTGGCTACTTTTTGGGGATTAAATCACTCAAATTCAACCCTAACTGTCAATAAAATTCACAATAACCAAAATCTAGAAAGTGACATAACCCTCAAAATAAAATCAGATTTTTGGGAAGAGTTACACAGAGAGGAAAATAATAAGCTGAGGACATACAGGAAAATTAAACATCAATATGAACCCGAACCATACTTAAAAATGAATATTTCACGCACCCACAAAAAACTTTTGGCAAAAATGCGAATTAGTGACCATGACCTGGAAATTGAAAAAGGGCGGCATACAAACCCAAAAACACAACTTTCAGACCGAAAATGCCCCCATTGTAATGAGATAGAAGATGAAATACATTTTTTCCTAAAATGCGCCCATCACAAAATTGAAAGGAAATTGCTGTTTGAATGCATACCAGAGGTAAACTTGCAAGGTCTAACAGACGAGGTCAAACAGCTTGACATCATTCTAAACCCACCCACTGAACAGAGTGCAATTGCAGTAGGGAATTTTGTAAGTAAAATTATGAAAAAACGTAATTAACTAGAAGTGCACAAATGATTTCATGCATCTCACCTGGATATTAAGAGAATGTATATTGTGTAACATTATATAAGTATAATTTTTTTTTTCTTTCATTTACTTACTATCCTTACTATCTTTCCATATGTATAATGTATAGTAGCTAGAGAGCCTCTAAATGTAAAAACATTTCAGTGCTCAATAAATTATTATTTAGATAACATTAAGTTACTGGGTGATTGCATTAGAAATAATAATCTTGCTGAGCAAGCAGGTTTGGAGGATTGCGTTACCTTTTTTGTTAGTGCACTAAAAATATAGGCAAACAGTAAATGCAAGGAAAATTGCAGCCAAGAGTATACCAAAAGAAAGTTCTCATAAACCGTGGTTCAACGACCGATGTAAAGTATTGTTTAATAAATATATAAGGGCTCTATATGACTTTAATGCCTGTAAATCAGCCGACAACCACTCTCTATTACATGTCTGTAAAAATAAATATAAGAAATATGAATGTGGTTTAAAACGGGATAACTTAGAATACTTAAAGAAAAATAACCCTCGTGAATTCTACAAGAGATTTTCGAATCGGAAAAACTCAACACCAAACTTATCAATCAATGAATTCTTCCAGTATTTTAAGAACATGCACAGCGATGGACATGGAGGTGCTACACCTAGTGTTACTTTAGATTACGGAAATGGATCAATTTTTGATGAATTAAATACAGAATTAACAGTAGAGGATATCAAAGAATCCTTTAAAACTCTCAAGCGTAGTAAAATTCATGGTTATGATGGTATCTTAAATGAGTACTTTATTGAATTTTCTGAAATATTACTGCCCTACCTCCATATTATATTTAATGCAATGTTCGACAAAGGTTATTTCCCTAAGATCCTCTGTTACGCATTGATTGTTCCAATGTTCAAAAAGGGTGAATACTCTGATCCAAGTAACTATAGAGGTATACGTTTAATTAGCTGTATGTGTAAACTCTTCACTTCTATTGTAAACGCAAGATTACTGGCATGGTCAGATAGAAATGAAATTATGAGTGACGCACACTTTGGTTTCCGTCCTAAACATTGTACCACTGACGCAATTTTTGCAAAAAACACTTTAATTAGCAAATTTCTGCCCGAAAAGAGGAAACTATACTGTTGCTTCGTTGATTATAAACAATGTTTCGATAGTATAGACAGAGCTAAGTTATGGTACAAATTAATCGAAGTTAGGAATAGGTGGCAAATCTATCAAATCCTTTTACCATAATGTGAAAACGGGCATATTGCTAAATGGAAAAATTTCAGACTTTTTTTAGAATAGTAGAGTTGTTCTACAGGGAGAGGTGGTGTCTCCTATCCTTTTTTCACTTTATGTTAATGACTGTGAATTAAAATTTTAAAAAATGGTATGCAACCAGTTGAGATGAAAGACTTGTCACTTTTTTTTACTCATGTATGCGAATGATTTAGTTTTGTTTGCTGATTCTGCAATAGGATTACAAAACTGTTGAACTCATTAGCAATTAAGGCTGATAAATGGTCCTTGACTAAATGTAAAAAAAAACAAAGATATTGGTGTTTAGGAAGTGTGGTTGTTTAAAAGTAGGTTATATAAGGGCCAACAACTTGAAATTGTCGATGAATTTTGCTATTTGGGTATTACTCTCAATTTTAATGGCAAATTCTTCAAAGCCCAAAAATAATTCGCCTTGCAGTGTCGTAAAGCGATGTTTAGTCTGTATAGAGAGTGGACTGCTATGAGCCTGAGTCATAGCACTGCTCTTTCATTATTTGATAGTTATATATCTAGCATTGCTAACTATGGATGTGAAGTCTGGCGGCACCATCGTGCACCAGACCTCGAAATAGTTCATTTGGACTTTGGGGGATTTATTTTAGGGGTTAAGCGTTCAAATCCAGATGAAATTATCTATGCTGAATTTGGAAGGTTTCCTTTGTCGTGTACTAGGAAAACAAGAATAATAAAATATTGGTTGAAACTGAGGAAAACAAATAACTGCATCTTACAAGAATGCTTAACCTATCCTATGAATGAAGATCTGAATAAAACACCATGTGGCAACTGGATTTTTAAGGTGCATGACATACTTTTAGAAACAGGCTTCCATTAATTTTGGCTGTATCCAAGTTATTAAAATGAAAAGTTTATCATCTACCATGTTTAACCAAAATTAATGGATATCCAACAGCAAGTTATATTTTCAGACATAAACGGATCTCGGAAATGCTGGCTATATAGACACCTCATTGTTACTATGCAATCTTACCTTACGAAGCCAATTTCAGCTCAAAATAAAAAATAATTAGTAAAATTAACACTTTCTTCGCACAAATTAGCAATAGAAACAGGTAGATATAGAAAAATCTCATTAGAACAAAGAAAGTGCTCACATTGTAATGAGATTGAAGACGAGTTCCACTTCGTCCTTGGGTGTTCTCGCTATATTAGTATCAGGAATAAGTTTATTAAGCCTTATTTTTGTAGAAAACTTTTGTCTTCAGCTTGTTCTCCTGCTGAATACTTCCAGTAAAAAGGAATTATGTAATTTAGCACGATACATTAAACAGGCGGGAAGTATCCAGCAGGGGTCAGATCTGCTATATATATGTGATTCTATGTATGAGACTGATGGAATATATAATTCCAAAGTAAATAAACTATATATATACTCCGCAAGGTGTCGCCTGTGGAGGTCGAGCAGCACAGCCATGTTAACCATACGATTAACAGTGGCGAAGGTGGCAGGTACTTCCAAACATTTTTCACAACTGTGATTATATTCTAGAACATTTGGTGTATGTTTTCACTGTTCTAATGTTGCTGTGCAATGAATGTACACTGTAAGTTTGCCTGATAAAATGGTATTTTACTTAAAATACGTTCCATGTACATATATGAGATTAGCGTCACGGTTAGATAAAATCGAAAAAAATCGAGATAGTTTAAGGTACTGGTATATGCCATGCGAATTTAGCTGTCAAACTTTTTTTCAGTCAGTTGGTCCTAAACAATGTGTAAAGCAAGACGGAGGAATATCCGGGACGGAGGAATGGCGATCGAGAATTTTACTTACGTGGCGTCAAAGATTTTCCACAAGGTTTTTTGGATTATATATACGTGTCAAAAAATGAAGATAATATTTTCACTGTTTATAACCAGTCATTTGGATCCATTCAAACGTTTCTTCTGCCTTAAATCACAGATATACTACGGACAAGAACTCTTCCTGTTTCACCTAATTCAGTGGAGCAAAGCTTGTTTTTAGCTCAGTTTGTATACATATATTAAATGCAATTGGAAGACAAAAACGGCTTCAACTGGATAAATCTTATGATTGTTTTTACCACAATACACACTGTAAAATCGGAAATAAAGTACTCGAAAAAAAAGCGCTTTATTCCTAATACTATATCTGAGTTTATATTATAGATATTTTATGTTCGCTTCAGTGTAACGAATTAGATATAACGTGAAGAGAATTTTTATTCATATTGATCTCTAATCAACTCGTATGATATGGATTGATTATCACAGTCAAATAAATCTTGTAAAATATGAAATCCTTTCTCATATAATAATTTATAAAATACAGACTGATATACCGATCATAAGAGGATGGTACCAAAGTGGACCCTTTGGTATGTTATTGTTTCCTTTTACTGGCAATTGTGAAGAAAATTCAGAAGTCTAGTAGTATTTTCTTCCCAAAAATCTCTGGTGCTTTCTCCCAACTTTTTTTTAATAATCGGGTCAGAAGTGACAAAGACCAGTGAGATTACATCGAGTGATTTCCGAAAATAGTCTAGCATATTAACTACTATCAAGAAGTTTACGTATCCATTTTAGTTTCAATGTTTTAATGAACGAATCTAAATGTACCATACGGTACCCCCCACTTTCATAGTCTTGAATATTTTTTTTTTGCTATCATATCCTTCTTCCCATACCATGTAAACTAAAAAAAAAATCTTTTCTATCTCCATTTCTAGCCATTTAAACAAATGAGTTTACTTTAAAGATCAATTGATACGATAAGCGACATATATTTAACCACATTCATTTTTCTTAGCATTGGAATATTTTTTCTTTTGGGCCATGCTTTAATTTCTTGTTCGGTGCCTGATAATTTGTTTCTAAAGTCTATCTCTTCTAAATATTCTAGTCCAGTTGTAAATGTTGTTCCTAGTAATGTAAATGGTCCTTTTGACCATTCTAATCCTCTCTCCCTACATATCATATCCTTGTTATCAATTTACCTTTGTCTGAAAGCCATATTATTTAGAAAACTGGAAAAGGAGTATAAAGGCACTATTTAGACTTTTCTCTGAGCCATCTAGAAGCAATAGTGTGTCGTCAGCATATTGTAGCAGTTAAACCTATTCTGTCCTATTTGTAACTCCCCTGATAGAGTCGTTTAACCTATTCTGTCCTATTTGTAACTCCCCTGATAGAGTCGTTTAACCTATTCTGTCCTATTTGTAACTCCCCTGATAGAGTCGTTTAACCTATTCTGTCCTATTTGTAACTCCCCTGATAGAGTCGTTTAACCTATTCTGTCCTATTTGTAACTCCAATGATAGAGTCGTTTTGCCTAAATAAAGATTGCCATTATTTCCCAAAAAAAAAAAAAAAAAAAAAAAAAAAAAAAAATGTTAAGATATATATGACGAAGTCGGGTCGCCATGAAGACAACCTTTACTGCTTTTTAAAAATCTGGAAGAAAATGCCATGTTAAATGATACAATTATGCCTTGTTGTAAAGAAACTTGATCCAGATAACCTTGGACATAATAACGAATATATGTCGAAGAGAGAACCAAGTCATGTCCAAAATTATAACGTTAACGCTTTGTGAATAAATTTCCTAGACAATGAATCAAACACTTTTGGCAGTTACAACAGAGAGATCGAGACCAATGATTTTGCTACCTGTACGTATCACTAGATAGATAGATGGATTTTTATAAGCCCAGAATATACATAATATTTATACAATCAGCGTAACAAAAACAACTTTATAGTTATACTCAAGTTGGTCGAGTCAATATGACCATAATGTTAGCATTAGGAAAATAAACAGTTTACAGTATATATCAAATGATTCACATCGTGCGTAGGCCTTCGTCTCCAAGGATTTTCCGGGTTGTAATAATTCTCTCAAACTCCCTGGCGTCCATATCAGTATAAACGTCTGAGACAATTTGTTCCGGATTTATCTCTCTATACAATATAGTCTTACAATTTTAAGACACACGCACCCTTTCTTTAAAGTTCAATAAGTCAGAGTTCCCACAATTATTGTTCTGAAAAATACAATTTAGGTATTTGAACCACGGCTAGCCCGAACAAAAGACTCGGTCGTGCTGTATTCGACATACAAACACGTCATGTACGAGTGCGTTCCACGCTCTGTTGCACTCACGTTACTCACTAGCTAATAAGGGCCCAGTATCTGTATGTCGGGTCCTAGCGCCCACCACGGATCAGACAACAGTTAAAACAAGTCGTTTCTCAAACTTTTAATATCATGAAACAGCATTTACCCAAAAACTGAAAATTCGCGTTCTCGAATTTGAACGCCAAGTTACTCCCAACACACAATGTGAAAACTAAAGTTTTATCTACACTTCCAAAGTATAATGTATTTCCTGCAATACTCATAATGCACAGTCAAGTAAGCATTATGAATAGCGTTCATGAAGTGGACCAAATCAAATAGACAGTAACTAAAGGAATACTTGTATTGGGTTAGGTTTTACGAATCAATTGAATTTTGTCTTTATTTTTAAAACTCCACTGCACCCTATTGCATTGTAGTACTGCTGGTCATTAAAAACGTACAGAACCACCTTACAATTAAAAAACTACCTTACAATATTCCTTACAAATAAAACAATAGTCCTTATAAGATAAATACAGGAGATTAAAGATAAAACTTACATAATTAGACGAAAGAAAACCACTGCTACACCCTCACTGGTCAGAGTCTGGTCTGAGAGTGGTCTGAGTGTGTCTTTGGTCTGAGTGAAGATGAATGTGACACAGAATCACATGAGTGAGCATATTCAGTTGTTACACCTGAGTGGCATAGTGAGCAGTGATCAGATTTGTGAGCTTATTTATTCCAGCACGTCGGTTGTTCACTTCGCAAAGATGCAGTAATCATTTATCTCTGCAGCACTAAACTAATTACATAACTTCAAAAACTAATTATATTGTAACAAATAAAGATAAATTTTTAACACCACATTTCTTTTGAAATCTTAAATTATGAAGTATGTTCATACTGTAATTATACTTGAACTAGTAAAGAAAGCAGAATTATATAACATCATCAGTGACATACAAGTATGATCTATAGACAATGCTACACTAGTAGTTTAGAACAATTATATATCATTAATAGGCATTAATAAACCCAATTTTCCGACACATATTTATTC